ATACATACATACATACATACATTAAGTAATGGAAAAATGAGACAAGGAAAAGGAGATGGAGAGAAGAGGCCTTTTCATAACTTATCAACATATGAATACTGAACATTTGATTTTCCTTTCTTTGAAAAAAATTACTAGTGCCTCAAGTCTTAGCATGATGGTAGCAACAGGGTAGCAGCCCTGCCAATAGTGATAGAATTACCTATATACTTTTTAATATAAAGGATATTTCCTCAATTATCTCCCCAGGCAGATCACTGACAGCTATCTTACTTTCCCAGTTAGTCAGATTTACATAGTCCCTCCTTATCCACAGAGGATATGTTTCAAGATCCCCGGTGGATGCCTGAAACTATATATAACTGTTTTGTCCTATACATACATATCTGTGATAAAATATAATTTATAAACTGGGCACAGTAAGAGATTATCAACAATAACTAATAATAAAATAGGACACATAACTATATACTATAATAAAAGTTATGGGAATGTGGCCTCTAAATATCTGGAATTTTCCATTTAATATTTTCAGACTGCAGTTGACTGTGGGTAACAGAAATCAAGGAAAGCAAAACTGTGGATAAGGACTACTGTATTTAAAAAATTTAAGTGCCTTTAATGTGTTTTATTACTGTGTATACGTAGACTAGCAAATCTAAAACACAATTAAGAGGGGACAAATTAATGGTTTCAATACATAACCTCTTTGAAGGAGGTACCTGATCCATACTTATCTCAAACTTATTTGTTTCTTCCCAAAACACATATCCAGTATCCACCCCCACTTACATCCTTGACTCCATGTTGCCTGACAGCCACTGTATTATGTACAATGTAATCAAAGGTGTATTACATATAGAATGTTAAATTGGGTAACTTACCAGAATCTGTCATTTCGAAATCACCATTTACTTTTTTATTATAAGCCACAACTTCTCTTGGAACACTTTTCAATAGTACACTTCTATAGACCTATAGGTCAGAAGAGAAAAAGAGGACTGCTGAATCACAAAGAGGCACAGATTAAACAAAACCAAAATCAGTACAAAATATTAAGTCAATTAAAAAGTATTTGTCTGTGTGGATGATAATCAAGGGCAAGATATTATTGGCCTGGTGAATGTATATTATGGCAAACATCTTAGGAGGAATACTGAAGCAGAGCCTACACCTAAAATACGTCATTATAGAAGTTTACAAAATAGAAGAATTAAGTAAGTAGCAACTAAACACTGATGAGCAGGTTTTGCCAAATACTCAAAAACTTCAAAGATCTGAACTTGTTCCTCCTCCCTTTTAATTCCTTACCTGAGAATCATTTGCTCTCACTGGTGCTTGCTTTCCTGCTCTCACCCATTCCCATCTCCTTTCAGATGGCCACATGAAAATCTGTTCTCTCCCTGCCCCTAAACCCTTTCCTACCTCCAAGATAGCTGACAGCTATGATCCATCCCTCATCATCCTATGGGTATTAGTATTGAGAAGGTATTTAGGCAGCTCTGGCTTGGCCCGTTTTTGACACACTCTAACTTTGCCTTCATGATCTTTAGGGACAATCTATTAATAGACTTCTCCAGGCTTTGTTCCTGAGGGATTTTTCTGAAAAGTCCCAGAAACTCCCAGCCTGTTACAGGATATAACAAACACTTGTACTTGGCTCTTCTAATATCTTTATATCACTATCAGTATACTTCGGGGCTCAACTAAAGAAGTGAAACTCCTTGTGGAACTCTCTTAGAAGGCGTGTCACTACCAGTACTCTAGCCTAGGATAACTGAGCCATCACATCTCTCTTCCTGTCTAAGATAGCAGATCACCAGGAACAGAGGAGAGGCCATTATACTCCCTTAAGAGTAGAGCAACCAGGCTCTTGATGTGGTAAAGCCTTAAGGTAACCTAACCCTGAGTTCTTCAGCTACAATAATAATAATATGGCGCTAACAGTCATTAATGTTTACTATGTGACAGGCCACTGTGCTACCGTTTTATATTTCCATGACTGAAAAACTGTACAGGAGTTTCACCATGGCTATGATAACAACATTATCAGGAAGGCTTGACATCTATTCATTTTTTTTTTTTTTAGCTGAGCCATCCTGCCACCTGTTGGCAGCTCAGCTCGGGCCGTGAATCGAACTGGGGACACTGTTGCTTAGAGCTCGCACTCTTGAGCGAGCTCTTAACCAACTGAGCCACTCGGCCGGCCCCTAGGCTTGACATCTATTCAAAGATACAAACATTAAGATTCTTAGCAGATGCCAAAAGAAGCTGAATTTAAGTTAATAAATCCTCAAATTTCACTGGATTTAAACATCATCAGAGAATCAAATTTCAAACAATTAAAGAATATTATTATATATATTTAACATTAAATTTTCTAGAGAAAAATGTCCCTACTCAACAAATGAACAAATGCAATAGGAGAACTTGTGAGAAGTATATGCAAATATATGGCTAAATCAGGAACAGCAAATTTCCTGGGTTCTACTGAAACTGTCTCTTGAATTTAATGATATCCATTAAACCAAAAAATCTAAAATACAACTATAAAATAAGTTTACTTTTGTATATGACTTGTCATCAGAGAAATAGTACATATCTATTTTTGGACAGGAAGAAAAACAATGTAACTCACGTGACTATTAGCTTGGGGCTGATTCCTGTAACTTTTCATTATTTCTTGAAAAGTTCTTTCTTCTTTTGTTACCTAAAGAAAAGAAAAACTGCATTTATCAATTGCTCCTAAAAGAAAAATGGCTCTGAACAGAAACTTCAATTATAGTCTGGTAGTGAGAGCAGTCTTGCAGAAAGCCATTAACCCCAGGCCAGTCCATGACTAAAAACCACTATCATTTATGATTTTTACTACCTTAAAAGTTCAGGCTTTGTGGCCTGTGGGGACTTAGCTAATAGTTTCATTAATCAAAAGTACTGAGATTGCAATTGCTGTAGTATAACTCTGCTGAAAATGCATTTCTTTATAAAAAGAATGATAAGAAAACTCAGATCTGCTGAACCCCCTACAGTCTCTGATTTTATTAGTTTTAAGTACTTATCTAAAAGTAAATTAACCACAGGGCAGGCTGAGTGGCTCAGTTGGTTAAGAGCTCGCTC